GACAGACGCTTACTACTTAGGACATACAAAGAAGTGATAAAAGCTAAACATCAAGAAAACAAACAACCCAATTATAAAGTGGAACAAGGAGCTGAATAGAGAGTTTTCTAAAGATGCAACCCAAATTGCTGAGAATTAGTGAAATATGTTCAATAGCTTTAGTCATCAGGGAAATGCAGATTAAAAACACTTTGAGATTTCATCTTATCTCAGTAAGAATAATAAAAGTCAAAAAAACTAACAAGAATTAATGCTGCAAGGACGTGGAGAAAGGTGAGCTCTTGTCCCCTCCTGGTAGGAGTGAAAACTGGTGCAGCCTCTGTGGAAATCGGTATGGAGATTTCTCAAAAAGCTTGAAATTGGGGGGCTGGAGAACTGGCTCAATGTTTAAGAGCGTTTACTGCTCTTGCAGAGGACCTGGGTTTGATACCAGCACCCACATGGTGGCTATCAACCATCTGTAATCCCAGTTCTGGGGGGAATCTGCTGCCTTCCTCTGACCTCCATGGGCATTGCACCAGATGGGTGCACTTACACACAGGCAGGCAATACACTCATACATATAAAATAAAAATAATAAATAAAAAATGTTTTTAAAAAGCTTGAAATTGATTTGACATATGATCCAATCATACCACTCTTGGAACTACACCCCAAGGACTCTGTATCCTACTATAGGAACACCTGTTTATCCTTGGTCATTTCTGTCCTTTCATAAAAGCCAGAGATTGGAAACAATCTTGATGTCAATTAGTTATTGGATGGATAATGATGGTGTGGTACATATACAACAAAATATTATGTAGGTCTTAAAATGAAATTATGAAATTCACAGGTAAATGGATGGGACTTGAAACAATCATCCTGAGTAAAATAACCCAGACTCAAAAAGACAAATGTCTCGTCTTCTTTCTCATAGCAGGATGTAAGCTTTGGAATCTTATTTATGCATGTTTCAATTTGAAAATTCAGAAACGTCAGGAAACTAATGAATGGTCATTGGTGGGTGAGGGAGAGATTTTTTATGGTGCGTGGTTGAATACAGTGATATGAAAGGGGAAAGTGAAGTACTAGAATAGATACAGTTAAACGGGATGCGGAGAGGGAGTGCAGGATGTGGAGAGGGAGGGCAGGGCCAAGGAAGGAGTATGAGAAGGCGTTAAAAACCGCAGAAAAACTTTAGAAAAATCCACGTGTAAATTCATCACTATAAAAGCTTCTCACTTTATATACATATATATGTATATATATATATATATAATAAAAATTTTAAAGTTCATATCTTATAACACGGGGATATTGCCCTTTCTAGACATCGGAGGCTAATGAAAGCATAAAATCTCAATACACTCTTTTAAATGCTTTCATATTTGACTTTTTCAAAACTGGAAACTCAGAAATCACCTAGGAAGCCATATCGTTATTCTATGTTCACTTTGACATTGATTTATAGATGCCATGGGCAAGTTATCACAGATCACACCATGAGGCATGGTTGAATGCAATGATATGAAGAGCAAAGTGGAATATTAGAGTACCAGTGTTGGTCAGTAGATGATTTCCATTTTAAGTTTTATCTTTTCTAACTTTCTGTATTAATACTGGTTTTGAAAATTAACAGCAGGATCCAAAGGACACTGAAATCATGCCATTGACATGCAGGTAGTCTCATAGCTTCATGACACATGACAGAGTATCTCTTTACCTGTGGTTAGTAAGCAATGGAACAATTTAATTACACTCTCATAATACAATTTGCTTGGAGAGGGAAGGCATGAATTTTGCAGAGTCTATTTAGCACTTGGAAATAAAGTAAGGTTGCAGCTAATTCCTTCTAAGGCAATCTTCTTAAGTGTGTTTTATTGTGGGATACTTTTAAGCATGCATAGCTTTGTTAATGTCTTCTGTGGCAGTAAAAATATGATGGCTCAATTTCATAATGAAATTACTTTATTTGACAGAAATGAGTTCCACTTTGATTTTTATGCTATATCAATGAACTTAAAATCTGTGATAAATTTCTGTATGCTTGCAAATCATGTAAACAATTCAAACAGAAAATGCAAGTCTTTATCAAGTGACATTTACCAAACCCGAAATTATTCAGGTCACCTGAAAGTTCTAGTCCGTTTTCATTTTTTTTCCACTGGGTTTGGCAATATAGCTTAGTGTCACAGTTAGCAATAGTCACTTCTCCTTCACTTTCCCTTAAAATATTACTTGGATATTTATTTAGCTGAAGCTCTCTTGAGCCTTTGATGGCTGCCATACATTATGAATATTATATATGCTTTTCTCCTATTACTTATTTTGAAAGCAGGGACTGTGTTTTCTATTACTCCAGCATCCACCCTATATTCTCATCTTGCATGCAGTAGGGCTTCCAGCATTTAATTCACTTAAAAAAAACATTTATTTGTGATGTCTCCAAGCATCACATGTAGCCAAATACCAGTTCTGTTCATGTTCTGAAGTTGTCATCTACTGCCTACACCTTGCCTCTCATTTATCTACCATGGCATCAAACTTGTTTTCCTACTTGCTGATGTTTCCCTATGTTCTTTCCCATTCCCTTCTCCTTCATCTACCTGACATCTAATGTTTCTTCTACCAACTCCTCAGGCTCAGATTTACTTACTTAAAAATAGTGCTGACTTAGTACTGAAAAGAAGATCAAGGTGCCCTGAAAGTATGCCACTTCTAACCATCCCCACTGTTACCTCGCCGCCTGCACTGCTCCCCCACCACCAGATCTTACAGAAGCCTTTCAATCAGCTGCCCTGTTTCTGTTCTTTTCTTACAAAGAATGTTTTTCAAATTATAACGTGGATGAAGAGTGCTTGTGTATGTGTGCTTCTAAAATATATTATTTCCTTTCTCCCTTCCTTGTGGAAAAATTTAATTGCTTTCCCTAAGCCTGAAAATAAAATATAAATCTTAATATAGCCTAAAAGTTTTTCCTGATTTTTTCCTCTTTTAATCTCTTATCAAACTTGTTAAATTTCCTTTATTTCTCAAAGCAAATTCCATCTCTCCCTCTTAGTCTGTTGTAAATGAGCTCCTCCTATGGGTAAAGAAGACAACATCATCAGCCTTCTCACCTAAAACACTCAGCTACACATTGTAGGTACTCTTCTCTGGAAAGGCTTTCTGACATTCATACCCTACCCATATCTGATATAGATTGACTTCTTTGTATAGGAGTCTCACTTTGTCATTAATGAATACATTCCAAGATGCCCTGTGGATGCCTGAAACCACAGATCATACTGAACCATGTGTCATTTTTTTTTCCTCCCTAATGCCTTGCAGTTCCCAATTAATGAAAGAACTAAATCTATCCATTCTTGTGTTGTGCCCTGCCCCTGAACCTTATTGCTTGTGTGCTTTAACACTTGAATAATGTCATTTCAACACAGTGAAAGTCTATATAATAATCAAAATGACTCAGTGATAAAAGGCCAGGAACACACAGTGTGGATATGCTGAACAAGGAGATGG